TATTTTGCGGGCAGCCCGTAGGCCCTTTGGCAGTAAGGGAATGGATGCCGAAGCCTGGCTGATAGCTGAGTCCCTATAAATAGTGATAGAACAAAGTTAAAAAAAAATAAAATTTAGACACATGCAAAAAAAAATTATTTTTGAGAAATTTTTGCTATAGGGCACGTGCACTCACCAGACAGACAGAGACATAGAAACAGAAAGCAAGAAATCACCCCCCAGGGGGGATGGTCACACTGCAATCCCTTTTCCTCCATTCTCCTCTCGGGATCTTGGGCACGCACACACACACGCCCGGCGTGAGTTTGAAGCCACCAGGTCCAGGACGCAAACCGCGGTCGACTACATGGGAGTCCAGCGACAGAGCCATTATGCTAACTGCTGGTTCCCATGCAAAAAAATTTTTAGACACAGAAGGACCAGCAGATGGTGAAATGGTTATGTCAGTGGTTTCCCATATAGTCGACCGCAGTTGGAGTCCTGGACTCAGGGGCTTAAAATTCACACCCCGCACGTGTGCATGCATGCCCAAAATCCCAGGAGAATGGATTGCGGTAGGGGCTTGTGGTGGGGGCATACCCCCTGGGGGGTGATTTCTCGTTTTCTGTTTGTCTCTCTTGGTCTTAATTTAAAAATTTAAAAATTTTAAAAAAAAGCTAAACCCCTAATAACCAAAAAATAAATGCCAGTATGGATGGCATATTGCAATGAAAATAAGAGCAGAGTCGGGTTTAGATTTATGGCATCCCCAAATACAGTCACACATGGGTGGCAGAGACCCAAGAAAGAAGAGTTCATGGCACTCCTTTCATCCTTAAACACTCAAGACACATTGCAAGGCTGGAAATCTGACTTTTGCAATTCTTCATTCTGAAAACAATCACTGGAGGGGCCAGCAGGTGGCATGGTGGTTAAGGTGCTAGATTCGAGTCCCAGACCAGGTGGCTTGACAATCACAATAAATAAATAAATAAATAAATGTTAAAATAGGAACCAGCACATGGTGTAATGGTTATGTCACTGGACTCCCACATAATAGATTGCTGTTCGAGTCCTGGACCTGGCAGCTTAAAACTCACACTGGGCATGTGTGCATACATATTAAGATCCCGAGAGGAAAGTGGAAGAGAAGGGATTGCCATGACCATCCCCTCTGGGAGGTGATTTCTCGTTTTCTGTCTGTCTGTCTGTCTCTGTTTCTCTGGTGAGTGCATGCACCTTATAGCAAAAATCTCTTTTAAAAAGAAAAGAAAAGAAAAAAGGGGGGCCAGCAGGTGGCATGTGGTTAAGATGTTGGACGCCCATATGGCTGACTGCAGTTCAAGTCCTTAACCTGGTGGTTTGCTTTTTCACTCTCCCTTTCTCTCTCTCTTTCTTTGTTTCTCTCTGGTCAAATTGAATTAAATTAAATTAAATTTTCCTTTAAAAAAGAAAAAAAAAGGTTAAAATAAATAAACACACAATTAAAAAAAGAACAGTCACCAGATCCTCAAAAGACCAAAAACTTTGTGAGTATTGACATAGAAGGGCCTGGTGGCGTCAAAACACTGCCTTCCAGAAATCCCTGCCTCAGAATTGCCCCTGTTGCAAAAGATGTTGTTGCAATTGTGAAATATCCTGCTTTGAACTGGAAAGTCCCGTTGCCTACCCAATTCTGTCACTGGTGCTTTCGTCTCAGTGCAGAGTTTCCTGACCAGGAGAGGCAGGATCAGGGACCCCAGGAACCTGTAGCTCCTGCCTTTCTCCATTCAGAGGGGAGAGCCTGCTGGAGGTGCTGAGTCACCACCTTCTGGAGTCTGGGACAGGCGCTGGTTTCAGCAAGGCCTCAGTGAACACTTTTCTGCACCAACACGGCCCATCTGCTGTCTGCGCCCCACATACGCATTTGGGTTCATCTACTTCGTAGGAGATCCTGGGTCTGGGAGTTCTTTCTTCAGCAGAATCTAGAGATAAGCAAACGAAAAGCACTGAGTACTCTGTGACTATAAGAGGTAGATCAGTGAGACAATGTGTAGTCCACCTACCAGAACCCTGGAAGCCTTGACTCCTGGCGGCTGGCCTACAGGGTCGTTTGCTTGCCAGGAGCCAGAACGTTGCTAGTGACCTCTGGGAGTGGCTGCGCTGCGTCTCATGGGTTAGCTGAAAAAGTGAAATCACGTCAGCGGTGAGTAGTACGATACTAACTCGTCACCCTGCAGGGAGTCAAGGTCCTGAAATGCTGACCTACAGTGAGTCTGGGTCCTGGCTCTGGGCTAGGCCTGAGCCACACATTCCTGGCTATACGTGAAGGTGATAACCCAGCCTCGCAGGGAGGCTACAGAAATTTTAGAAGATAATGTTTGCAAAGCAAGTGGCCCTGTACAGAGGCACTGCTGAAGGGTGAATTGTGAAAGAGGGTGGAAGGGAAGTTCTTCAAAGAGTTCACAGAAAATGCGTATTATGAAAAAACTGTGCAGACTTCTATTTTTATTTTAGTTTTTATTTTGTTGTTGTTACAGGGCATTTGCACTCACTGAAGAGGACAGAGGGGTAGAGAGAAGGCGAGAAGTCAGCCTGCAGTGAAGACGGCTACCCCTTCCCCTCTGTTCTCCTCCAGGGATTGTGGGCACACTCACAAACACACTCAGCGTGGTTTTCAAGCCATCCGGTCTGGAACTCAAACCACCGAGTTGGCCACGTGAGATCCCGCGCCTTACACCATGCTGCCTGCTGCCCGGATTTAATTGTCTTTGCACCAAAATAAATGCGTTCTTCGAGTCCACTTTGACATGAACTATTTGAAGTTCTCCCATATTATCAAGAAAACATCTTTAAACCAAAAATGTCTTGGGGAGGGCAGAAAGTTTATACCAAGATATGCAAATAATGCCAGCTAATGATAGAAATATCGCTGTTTTGCAACCATCACTGTAATCATTGATATAGGAGGGCATCCTCAATGAATACTGAAACTACTGTGTGAAAGACTGTGGGAGCGAGTGACAGTCCCACACACTCAGCTCACTCATTAATTGCAAAGGAAAAAATGTCCTTTACAATGGAGAGACCACAAGGCTGCCTGGAGACTTACACGCAGTCTAATGATAAGGAAATAATCACACAAATCTAAATTGAAGAGAAGTCTGCTTAGATTGGACTTTTTTTCTCTTAGGTTTTTGCTCTAGGGCACATGCACTTGCTGGAGAGACACAGAGAGAGGGGAGGTGAGAAATCACTCTCCAGATAGATGGCCACATGCAATCCCATCTCCTCCATTCTCCTCTCAGGATTTTAGGCACGCACACACATGTGCCTGGCATAACTGCACAGTAGCCATGTGGGATCCAGCACCTTAACCTCCATGCCACCTGCTAGCCCCCACATTGGACCTTTTGAAAACTAGTAACTGGAGAGAAATCAAGGCTGAGGAAGAGGGAGCATGTTGTAGATAAAAGGCGAACATAGAGATGGACCATAAAAAGCAAAATATGTTCTGCACTCTGGGCTGGGAAATAAAAAAAGCCCCAAACTAAAGGACATTATTAGGACAATTGGGAAAACGTCTTATGAACCGATGTCGTATTATGACAACGTTACGTCTCTCAGGCGTGACCGCTGTATTGTGATTATTTGAAATAATTCCCTTGTATATTCACTCTTGGCGTTTAGGATGTTCAGAATGCTATGTGATAATGTTTTCCATTTATTACCAAACTTGGTGTGTGCATGCGTGAGAAAGAAAAAGAGAGAGACAGAAAACGTTGCAAAATGTAAAAATGGTGACTCTAGATAAAGAATATTCAAGTGTTCATGGAAAAATTTCAAAATAGTGGTGGTTAAGGCACTAAACTCCTACATAGCTGAATGCGGTTCAAGGCCCAGACCTGGTGGCTTGCTTTCTCTCTCTCTCTCTCTCTCTCTGGTGACCAAGTGTGTCTTATAGCAAGATCAAATAATTATAATAAATAAAATAAAATAAACAATTCAAAAGATAAAGAAAAATTTCAGAACAAAAAGTTGGGATAAACTCAGAGTACACACAGAGTTAGCAGGTGTCATGGTATTTAAGACATTGGACTCCCACATGGCTGACTGTGGTTTGAGTCTGAACCTGGCAGCTTGAAAATCATGCTGGGTGCATGTGCATGCATGCCCAAAATCCTAGGAGGAAAGTGAAGGAGAAAGAACTGCGGCATGGCCACCCATCGGGGGTGATCTCCCACTTGCCCTCTCTCTGGTGAACACACACGCCCTATGACAAAAACCGAAAGAAAAAGGTCAGAGTATACAAGAAGATACATGTCAGCTCCCCTGCAGGTTATTGCCGTTCTCTTCAGAGCCCCTCCAGGGCATGGCCTGGGCTGTGAGCTCCAGGGACACCTGTGCCTTTATCCCCGGCACCAGGTCTAGAGCAGATGTTTGGTGAATTGGGTGGAGAGGGTGCTGGCCTGGAGCCAGGGCTGGGTCAGCTCCAGTCTAGGCCTTCATGTTGTGGGAAGGATCTGACAACTGGAACTGTGGCAACAGGGGTGGCACTAGGTCTCGTACCCTGGCCTTCCAGCCTCGCCTGCCTCCTTGGGCAGAGAAAAGCTAAGCTTGCGGAGCTGTGTTTGTTGTTTACCCATTGGCCCTGCCATTGGCTCTAGGGGACAATAAAGCCCCCAGAGGCTGGCAGACGGCAGCTGGCCAGAGGGGCTAGGCCCCAGCATGGGCCTATCCTGTGAGGGCCAGCAGGAGATCTGTCCCCACCTGCCTCTCTGCCACACATGTGTCCTGGGAGGAATCCATCCCCAGACCCAGACCTCAGACTTGCCCACTTCCCTGGAGTCCAGAGTGGAGGGAGAGCTGTATTCTGGGGGCTGCAGGACTGCTACAGCAGTGCACCTTCCCAGCTGGAGAAGCTCGTGCACCAGAAGACGCAGCAGTGACACACTCTGACCCTCACTCTCAGTTCCCACCAAAGCATCAAGCATTTCCTGTGCTTTTTCCGTTATTTCACAAGCTGCCTCTTCTTGCTCACCCTTAGGGCTCCAGGACAGAGGCTTTTGCCTCCTGCCAGGGGCCGGACGCTGGCTCTGACCACTCCTGGTCAGAGTCATGGCCAAGACTCTTAGTGACAGTCTGCTCTTCACCCTGGAGGAGCTGGTGCCCTACGACTTTGAGAAATTCAAGTTCAAGCTGCAGAACACCAGCCTGGAGAAGGAGCACTCACGGATTCCCCGAGGCCAGCTCCAGACAGCCAGGCCAGTGAAGCTGGCCTCCCTGCTGGTCACCCACTACGGGGAGGAGTATGCGGTGCGGCTGACATTGCAGGTCCTGCGGGGCATCAACCAGCGCCTCTTGGCAGAGGAGCTTGACAGGGTGATAAGCCAGGGTAAGTAGTCCCATGCTCTGTCCCTCCCCCACACTGACTGCTGGCTACTCTGTAAGAGGGAGCATACGCTCAGACCAGTGCACTCCAGCTCGAGGGTTAGGAGTCCGGGGTCTACCACGACCCCTGGGACTTCAGTCAGGCACATCCACTCCTGCCTTTGGAGTTGGGTCAGTAAGGTTCCCTAAAGCTCCTAAGGGCTTACAAAAATGAAAAGGCCAAGAATCTGCCTGCAGGTCAGGATCTGGAGGCTGGGCTGGAGAACCTGTTCCTAGGGAATTCTTCGCTTTTTTGTGATTAATGCTCATATGCAAACAAGTCTAGATTGAGTCTCCTTTATTTAATGTTTAGATGTTTTGGAGTTTTTGGGGTTTTTTTTCCCCTGATTTGGGGATATTTACATATATATATAATGAGATATCTTGGGGTGGAACCCAAATCTAAATAAGACATTCGTTTTGTCTCATAGACACCTTATACGACAGTCTTAAGGTAACGTTTTTAATTGCCAGACGGTGTGCATGTGCCAGACAGAGAGGGAGAGGGGCGGGAAAGCACCCCCAGTGGGCTGTGGCCACACTAACATCTCCTCCATTTCTCCATCCTGTCACAATTCGGGGCATGCACGGGTACCCTGTGTGTTTTGCAAGATGAAGCCAGGATTCAAACCCAGGTCAGCCATGTGGGATCTAGCTTCCTTAACCACTAGACTATGGGACTGGCCCTGATCTCTGCTTTTAAAGACTTTTTTTTTCCTTTTGGAGATTTATGGGGTATCTAATATTTGGCCAGATTTTTAAAAAAACACTCTGTGGTATTTGAATTTTTCTTATCTTTCCAGATTTTAAGACTACATAAATACTTCCAGGTATTTCTATGAGGTAGAACAGTTTAAATAACATAAAAACTCTCTACTTACTGAAAGTGTAATAGAATTTAAACCATAACCCAAGTCTGGTAACATTTGATAAATACGAGTCTTTTGTTTTTCAGGTTTTTTTCATTATATTATTATTTATTCATTATTATTGTTCTTAAATTTTTTCTACAGGCACACACACTCATCAGATAAAGAGAGAGAGAGGGGGGAAGTGAGAAACCAGGCTGCCAGGTTTAGGACTTGAACCGCAGTCAGCCATGTGGGAGTCCAGCACCTTAACCACCACACCACCTCTTGGCCTCCAGTTTTTGTTTTTTGTTTTTTTTAAATAGGGCACATGCACTCTCCAGAGAGAGACAGAGAGAGAGAGACAGAGAAAGTGAATTGGGACTGATGGTCATGCTGCAATCCCTTCTCCTCCCTTCTCTTGGGATTTTTGGTATACACATGCATCCAACATGTTTCATCAAGACCCTGGGTTTGGGACTCATACCCTGCTGTTGGCCATGTGGGATCAAGTGCCTTAACCTCCATGCACCTGCTGGTCCCCAATGACTAAAATATTTAAATTACTGTTTTTTACTTCTAAAATCAGGTTATTTGCATCTTGGGGTTTTTTACTGGTTCTTGTATTTTTTTTTTTTTTTGGAGAGATTTTCACTGTAGGGCGCGTGCACTCGCCAGACAGACAGAGAGAGACATAGAGACAGAAAGCGAGAAATCACCCCCCAGGGGGGATGGTCACGCCGCAATCCCTTCTCCTCCATTCTCCTCTCGGGATCTTGGGCACGCACGCACACGCGCCCGGCGTGAGTTTTAAGCCACCGGGTCCGGGACACGAACCGCGGTCGACTATGTGGGAGTCCAGCGACATAGCCATTACGCTAACTGCTGGTTCCCTTTACTGGTTCTTAAACCAGTTTTGGTAACTTAAATTTTTCCTAGAAGTCAACAGGAAACAGTTTTAAATAACTTTAAAGTCATTTTAATAAAAGCTTCTTCAAAACAAAAATTAAGTTGCTAATTACAGACTATCTTCATTCCTTTACTAAAGAGCAGTGATTTGAAAATGATGTCCCTAGGGGCCAGAAGGTGGCATGGTGGTTAAGGGTGCTGGATTACCACATGACCTACAGTGGTTTGAGTCCTGGACCTGATGGCTTTCTCTCTCTCTCTCTTTCTCTCACTCTTCTCCAGGACTCGAACCACAGTTGGCCATGTGGGAGTCCAGCACTCTTCACCACCAAGCCACCTGCTGGTCCCACTCATGAAGTTATTGAAGTCCTTTTTATGCAGACCCGGAATAAAGATTTTTCTGTCATTTCTTTCTTTCTTTTTTTTTTTTTTTTTTTTTTTAGAGAGAGAGAGACAGAAAGTGAGAAATCGCCCCCCTAAGGGAGATGGCCACATGTAAGCCCTTCTCCTCCAATCTCCTCTTGAGATTTTGGGCACACACGCACATGGTGTAAGTTTTAAGCCGCGAGGTCGGGGACTTAAACCGTGGTTGAGTATGTGGGAGTTCAGCGACGTAACCATTACACCATCCCCTGGTCCCAAGTCTTTCCTGTCATTTCTGTTAAATAGTATGCTGAAATTTCCAGGCAAGCTGTTTTTCTAAAAGAAAAAACAACACGGGCCAGTAAGTGGTGTGGAGGTGAAGGCGCTGGACTCCCACAGGGCTGACATGGTTTGAGTCCTGGACCTGGCAACTCGCTTTCTATCTCTTTCACTGACTGTCTCTTGTGGGTGAATGTGTCCTGTAGCAAATTAAAGAAATAATAATAATAAATCATTCCCCCCCAAAAAAAAACATTTTAAACTTACCTAGCCATGTGAATTAGGATTTTCTTTAACTCATGCAATCAAAGAAAGATACAGAAATAAATTAATTTCTTTCTCTTTTTTTTTTAAACTTTTTCGAAATCATCCCCCAGGGGGGATGACCATGCCACAATCCCTTCTCCATTCTCCTCTCAGGATCTTGGGCACGCACGCACGCACATGTACCCGGCGTGAGTTTAAGCCACCAGGTCTGGGACTCGAACCGCAGTTGACTACATGGGAGTCCAGCGACATAGCCATTACACTAACTGCTGGTCCCTCTTTCTCTTTTTTTTTAAGAGAGATTTTTGCTATAGAGTATGTGGACTCACTGGAGAGACAGAGAGAGACAGAAAGTGAGAAATCACCCCTCAAGAGGGCATACCCATGCCGTAATCCCTTCTCCTCCATTCTCTCTGGATTTTGGGCATGTGTGCCCATGCATCTGCTGTGACTTTTAAGTCGCTGGGTCTGGGCCTTGAACTGTGGTGGACTACATGGGAGTCCAGCAACATAACCATTATGCCATCTGCTGGTCTCCAGAAATAAATTTGTTTCTAAGGTTTTAACTGTCTCTCTCTCTCTCTCTCTCTTATTTTTTTTTAGAAGTTTTTGCTATAGGGTGCATGTGCTCACCAGAAAGACAGAGAGACAGACAGAAAGTGAGAAATCACCCTTTGGGGGGATGGTCACGCCGCACTCCTTTCTCCTTCATTCTCCTCTTGGGATTTTGGGCACGCACCTGGCATGAGTTTAACCCACCGGGTCTGGTACTCGAACTGCAGTCGACTACATAGGAGTCCAGCAACTCCATGTAGCCATTACTCCAATTGCTGGTCCCTTAACTGTCTTTTATAACCCATCATTTCAAATTTTTGTGCCAATCAAATATCTTAAATCTTCTTTATTGACTTTATAATAATTGAATTTGGGGTTCAGGTACAGTTCCCTTGAGGCTCACCTATACAAAAGAGTTCCAGGTACCTGCCCGGAGACCTTCCTGAACATGCCAGCACCCCCGACAGGGCAGGTCTGGCTGACACTGAGGCTGGATCAAGGGGTGGGGACACCATTGGGGGTACCTGTCTCTGTGACTCATGGAGGAAGTATAAAAATAAAAACTTTTAAAAAACTGAATGTTGGGGCCAGCATGTTGCATAGTGGTTAAGGTGCTGGACTCCCAAATGGTTGACAATGGTTCAAGCCTTAGACCTGGCAGCTTGAAAACCACGCCAAGCGAGGGTGTGTACATGCCCCAAATCCCAAGAGTAGAATGGAGGAGAAGGGGTTGTGGCATTGCCATACACCCTAAAGGGTGATTTCTCACTTTTTCTCTGTCTCTCTGGAGAATGCACAAACACTATAGCAAAAAAATCTCTTTAAAAAAAGGAATTTTGTCAATCTATAAATATATATAAATGTATGCCAATTAGTTGGAGTTTTTGTTTTATGTTTTTGGAGTTCTGTGTGTTTGAAACAAATTCTCCTATTTAAAAAGTTTGAAAAGTACTACTTGAGGGACCAGCAGTTAGCATAATGGCTATGTCGCTGGACTCCCACGTAGTCGACCACAGTTCATGTCCTGGACCCAGTGGCTTAAAACTCACGCCGGGCGCGTGTGCGTTCGTGCCCAAGATCCCGAGAGGAGAATGGAGGAGAAGGGATTGCGGCGTGACCATCCCCCCTGGGGGGTAATTTCTCGCTTTCTCTGTCTCTCTCTGTCTGGCAAGCGCATGCGCCCTATAGCAAAAACCTCTCAAAGAAAAAAAAAGTACTACTTGAGAAATATGTAGCAAATAGTTTTTTGTGTTTTTTTGTTTTTTGTTTGTTTGTTTGTTTGTTTTAGCTTAGCTATAGGGCATGTGCACTGCCAGAGAGGAGGAGACAGAGAGGGGGGAAGTGAGAAATTGCCCCCAAGGGGGATGGCCTTGCCACAGCTCCTTCTCCTTCCTTCTCCTCTTGAAATTTTGGGCATGTAAGCACATGCACCCAGCGTGATTTTCAAGCCACTAGGTCCAGGACTTGAACTGCACAGTTGGCCATGTGGGAACCAGCATCTTAAACTCCATGCCACCAGCTGACCCCTCTTACTTAATGGTAATTCCCTGCTGTTTAGAATGTTCTGAACTTAAAATTCTCTAATTCGAGGGATGCTCTCTGCTCTCCCTTACCCCAATTACCCACTGTAGGGGACAGGTTCATGCCTTCACGTCTGATTGTCATTTCAGAGTATCTGACGCAGGATGGTGGTGGCACAGACAGTTCTGCAGTGTCTTGTTCCTCTGGGGAAAATAAACAAAAAAGCCTGAAGATAGTAGATGGTCCCAGAGGTGATGGAGCAGCCAGCCTGCTGTGCGGCCAGCTGGAGGCCGGGAAGGGGTCCCAGAAGAAGACCCAGAGCAAACGGAGAGAACAGAAGGTCTTGGAGGGCCTAGACGCCCAGGGCAAGCCATGGCCAAAGAACGCAGCTCTGCTCTGTAGGAGAAGCCCAACCCTGGGCAAGCCGCAGGGGGAGAAGGAGAGCCTGGTGAGCGCCAGTCTCCGCAGGAACGCCAGCTCTGCCGGGAGGCTCCAGGGCTTGGCTAATGGTTCCCTGGGAAGGAAAGAGGCCAGGAAATTGGAAGTCGACCTACCTTCAGGAAAGAAGCGACCCAAAAGTCTTGAACTGACCATTTCTCCGGGAGAGAAAGAACTGCCCGGGTCGAAAGCTCTTTTGACCCTGCAGGACACCAGAAGTGCCAGTCCAGATCTCGTGGCCACCCCCAGGGAGCCGAGGGCTGGAGTTGCAGGGACTATTGTGGCTCTGGAGAAAGGCTCCAAAAATCTAGAACACTCCACAGGTCTGGAGAATGGTGTGTTCCAGAACTCACCTTCCAGCATTTCCTTGGCTGGAGAAGAGCAATTCACAGCACAAGGGGAGGAAAGAGACCCCGGGGAACCAGGGGCCCCTGAGGCCTCCAAGCAGCTGGTGCGTGGTGTGCTGTGGGAGACTTCAGGTAAGGGACGACTTGGCTCCAGAATCCCAGCATCCCTTTGGAGTGGTGCCTGGAACTAGTGCTCCCTGCATTTCTTTCCTCCCTGCTCTAGGTGTATCACTGGGTACCCAGGTGCCTCCTGGGATTGCTTTGCTTAGGGTATGGACGCAGGGTAAGACTGAAAATTGCACATGTGCACATGCACCTTTGCAAAGCGTTGCCTCATCTTGCAGTTAGTTCTTCGGATGCTTGAAGTCTTCCTTTAAAGCCCAAAGGCTTCACGGGCCCCAGGCTGAGAATTTAGACTAGATAAAAATACCTGCTTTTCACAATGACCTGGTATCATGCCTGTCACAGGGCCCAGGTTCTACCATTGGCCTTTCTTTGGGCAGGGAGGAGGACCTGTCGGCTAAACTCCTGGTCTCTTTCACTGGTGAGATGGTCATTAGCAGCATGCTAAGTTGTTAATAACAGAAACCCCACAGCAGTAGCAGCTTAAGCAACACAGAAGTGGGTTCCTCTTTTGCATGCATGACTCAGGCCGCTCAGCTGGGATGGCGGCTCACTCCTGCTCGTTGTGACGTCAGTTCGTCTCTACGCTTTGTGCTCGCTGAGCCTGGGTGTGAGCGGTGGTCCGTGTGCTCCATCACTGCACACACACTTCCTAAATGCTCGCCAGTCAGGCACAAAAGTCACTGTCGTCTGGAAGCGCCCACCTGAATTATGGGCAGCCTAGGGTTTTGTGTTTTTTCTTTTTAGTTTATTTCTTCCATGAGAGAAAGAGAGAGAGAGAGAGCGGCACCCCCAGTAAGGTCTTCACATCATGATCCACACCCGACCTCCTTCGTCCTGGATCGGGGATGTGTGTGTGGCTAGTGTGCTCAGGGAGGACCCGAGGTGCCAACCCAGGGCCTTCCCCATGTGGGCACGGTTGTGTTACACGGTACGCCCTGGCGCCTCGGCTGCTTTTCATTGGCAAGGTAAACACTGGGCAGAACGTCTTTTTCTTTTACACCCTCCGGATCTGTGTCTATGCAGGAGAGAAGCATAGGGTTTACCGCAAAGGGCCCTGAATCTTCCACTAGAATAAATGTCTGGGACTTCCCATCTCGAGGTCACACTCCTGAGATGTCGCCCTTGGCTCTCGCACCCAGGGCATGTTAGCTGCCTCGCTGCACTGGAGCCGGAGAGAGCAAGCGAGACACGGCCAGACTCTGAGAGCGCCCGAGTCCCAGGTATGGCTCTCCGCTGTGCTGTGCGGCCCTTCTTCATAGACACCCTGGGAGCCAGCCACTGGCATGGCAGTTAAGGTGGCTGGATCCCAAAGGGCTGACCCCATGGCCTGAGTCCCAGACCCAGCAACTTGAAAAACAAGCCAGAAACGTGTGTATGTGTGCCCAAAATCCTAACAGGAGAAATAGAGGAGGAAAGATTGTGGTGTGACATCCCCGTGGAGGGTTCTTTTTCTCTTTCTTTCCCTCCATCCCTCTCTGGCAAGCACATGCACCCTCTAGCAAATTAAACAAAACAAAAACAGAACAGAAACATCTTGAGTTGCCAGTCAGGAGATTTTTGCACTGCCTTGTCCCCAGGGAGGCCACCAGACGAGGCTGCATGTTCCCTTTGCCATGCCCAAGAAGGAGACCCGGCTGGTGGTACTTGCATGCACAATTCCTGCAGCTGCCCCATCACTTCTGGAGACCCCGAGACCTCGGGCAGCCACTCAACCATCTGCCTTCGGTGCCAGGCCTCACTCGCAAAAGGGAGCCCCAGAGACCTCAGTCCCCAGCCCCTGCCACAGTGTCAGCGCCACATGAAGCAGGTGCAGCTGCTCTTCTGTGAGGATGACAGGGAGCCCATCTGCCTCATCTGCAGGCTGAGCCAGGAGCACCGAGGGCACCAGGTGCGCCCCATTGAGGAGGCTGCCCTGGAATACAAGGTAGGTGCTCCAGCCAGGTCTACTCTGCAGGCACTTGGACACATCCAGCTTTGCTTTCTTTCCCCAACTCTGTCATGGTGCACTAGCCAGGACTCCTGGGATGTAAATGGCAGGGACAATACCAACGGGCCGGCAGAGAGGGGATGTACCGGCTTACGATGCTCAGAGGTCGGCTCAGGTATGGCTGGGACCAGGGCTCGCTCCCTAGCGCTGATTTCCCTGGAGATGGACTCACTCTTCGTCCTTCCTGAGGGCTCCTCATGTTCTCACCTGCAGCACCCTTTGCTTTGCTCCCAGAAACAAAGCTTCCCTCTAAAACTTGGCACCAGCTAAGACGCAGGAGCTGACTGTCAGCTTCTCAGTGTGTGTCTTTCTCCAGGAGCAAATTCAGAAGCAGCTGGAGCATCTGAAGGAGCTGAGAAAATCTGGAGAGGAGCAGAGAGCCCAGGGGGATAAGAACATGGCGAACTTCCTGGTAAGGCCATGGGCGTCCTGTGGCCAGTCCTGGCCTGCTCACACCAGCAGAAAGAAGGAGGGCGCTGAAAGTGAGCAGAGACCCTGATATCTTGGGGAGCAGGACCCAAGGGTCACAATAACATGGGGTTCTCTCCTCCTTCTCCTTTCCACAGTCAAAAAATTCTCTAATTGCAAGGGAGGGCAAGCTCTTCTTTACCACAGAAACCCAGTAATGCACATGGAGACAATGACTGAATTCGAGATTGTTCCATTATACAACACCGGTGTAATGGCCAGCAAGACTGAGATCAACAGAAGCTGACATTTCTAGAGAAGATTGCTAGAGAGCAGCACCTTTACAGGAGCTCAAAGCACCATTCCCCCAAGCTACTTAGTGATTATAAAGGAGACAATGTATACTTTCTTTTTTGAGAGAGATTTTTGCTACAGGGAGCATGTGCTCCCCAGAAACAGAGACAGAGAGACAGAAAGCGAGAAATCGCCCCCCGGGGGGGTGGCCATGCCACAATCCCTTCTCCTCCATTCTCCTCTAGGGATTTTGGGCATGCACGCACAAGCGCCAGGTGTGAGTTTTAAGTCACCGAATCTGGGACTCAAACCACAGTCTACTATGTAGCAGTCCAGTGATGTAACCATTACACGACCTGCTGGTCCCCATACAATGTATACTTTCTTTTTTTTTTCAAAGAATTATTTTATTGAACTTATTTATTTATTTATTTATTTATTTTAATTTGACCAGAGAGGGACAGAGAGAGAGAGAAAGTGAGATGCCAAGTCTGGAACTCAAACCGTGGTCGGCCATGTGGGAGTCCGCACCCCTAACCACGCCAACTGCTGGGCCCACAGTGTATACTTTCGATGGAGAGATGTGGTAGATCCTTCTCTTACCTGAATGTCACAAATATCGCAGTCACGAGATGGACCGATTGGACTTTTTTTGCCTCTAGATGGAGTATACTAGGAAAAGCATGTGGTCTTCACTATGCTGTTTTCTTGCTCAAATGCTTAGACACATTTAATGATGAGTAAAATTATCAGACAGTTTTAGAGTATAGGCCACTGAACAAGTTAACTGACCTGTCTACTAAAAAAAATTACATATATATATATATATATGCATGTGTGTGTATAAAATTAGTCAATGTCACCAGCAACGATGACAACAGCAAAAGATGACATGTTTTTGGTTCAAAAGAACGAAGGAGTTACTCCTGTCTTTTTGAACCAAAACTGACAAGACTCTCAATCCCAGTCTTGGTCTGAGGGAGGAAGGAAAAGGTGTGTTGGGGTCACTGTGCCTCTGCAGCTGCTTCCTAGGGGCCACCAGAAGGTGGTAGGAGAGCAAGTGTCTGGCCACCATGTGACCACAGTGGGAGTCAAGCTGGCCCACATTCACCTGGACTGACCACCTCCATCCAGCACCACTCTTGAGAACCTTCCGTGAGCCAGCACTGGGGCTCGGAGCACAATGTGGTGGCATACCGCATCCATTGGTGTCCCCAGGCTTCATGCCACACTGGCTTTCAAGGAAGAGAGAAGGTGACACTGAGTGTCTTAGTGTCCTGTGGGACCACGAATTAAGTGACTTAAGTGATGTAAATGTATTGTTTCACAGTTTGAGGCCCGAAGTCCAAAATCACAGTGGGCTGCCAGGGTCAGTTCCTTCCAGGGGCTATGGGGGAGGGGTGTCACAGCGTCCACAGAGGGCTGTGTTTTCTGCCCCTCTTCACACAATATTCTAGGTCTCTGCTTCCAAATTTCCTGTTGTATAAGGACACAGTCCTTTGGATTAGGGGCTAGTCCCAGAGCAACCCCATCTTAGTGCACTGCACCTACGAGGTCCCTATCTCCAACTAGGGCCACACTCTGAGGACTTAAGGAGTAAGGGCATCAACATCGGAATCTTGGTGGGGATACAACTGAACCCACACCACCAGGTTTAAGGGTGTTTTCCAAGAGCTATCCCCCACCACTTGCAGTCTGTTCTGGAAGGTTCCAGCCAATATTGCTGTCTTCTCTGGAACCCAGGAGGTGGGCTTCTAGAGACTCCCTGGACATACATGCCCATCTGTTCCTTCTCCCAGAGGCAAACGGAAACCCAGAAGCAGAGGATCCGGTGCCAACTGGAGCAGCTGTGCCGGTTCCTGGAGCAGCAGGAGCAGCTCTTTGTGTCCTGGTTGGGGGAGCTGGGCCAGACCATCAGCCAGGCCAGGGAGAAGTACGGCGCCCGAGTGTCCCGGGACATCGCCCTTCTGGACAAGCTGATTGGGGAGCTGGAGGCCAAGCAGGGCCAGCCGGAGTGGGAGCTTGTGCAGGTGAGTAGACCTGGCCTGGATCTCCCCTGCCCACTGCCTCTTAGCACGGCTCAGTGGCCAGCACTGCCATCGGCTGTGCCTGAGCCAGTGGGGAAGGCCCCTGGGACCTGGGTGGTGTGGCCTTGGTGAGCCCCTTGTCTCTGGTACCCAGACCCCTTCGGTGAGGTCTCTTGGGAGCCCAGGGTGACCTGGCATCCAGGGGACCCCTGATATTGTCCCCAGAAGAGATGAGCAGGACTTGACAGGGTTCCACTGTAGGTCTGGGCCCGGTGGGACTGGGACCTCAGCTGATTAGAGTTTGGATCCAGGAGGGGGGCTTCCACTGGTGACACCTGGGCTGGGAGCCCTGGCAAAGGCAGGGAGCAGGTGGGCGTCCGGGAGCCAGGAGGGGCCAAGAGGGGCCAGGAGGCCCTGCAGTCCTGGGAGATGTAATGGAGAGCTTTCCTCTTTTCTCTCCTAGGACGTTGGAGTCACTTTGCACAGGTACGGCGATCCGTGGTGTGTCCTGGGTGGTCTCCCAGGGAGCACTTGGGGGAGACAGTCCTAGGAAGATGATCCCGAACTTCTCATTTCTAGCAGCTTCCTGAGGCCTTTTTGGTTGTGTCGGGAGTGTGGGATCTCGGTCAGGAGGGCGGCATGGTTGAAGGCTGGGAAGAGTGGGCTCAGCCCGTCCTGCTGGCCCAAGACGGTCCCATGCAACTTGCTTTGTGAACATTGCCTGGCAGAGCTGCTAGTGGCCTTGGGGAAGGGCGTGCTCTCCGGGAGTCTCGGGAGTTCCCGGTAGGCAGGGGAGGGCAGGCACAGAGGGAACTGAGCGTTAGCATCACCTAGAGCCTTACAAACTCCAGATGTCCAGGCCAGGTGCATATCAGTTCAATCTGAATCTCTGGGGGTGGGAGCCAGGTAGTAGCGGGGTTTTCTTTCTCTCTCTCTCATCCTCCTTCCTACTTTTCTTCCCTCCTTCTTTCTTTCTATATGGTGCATATGCTTCCCAATGAGACAAAGAGAGAGAGAAAGAAAGTGAGACATCATCTCCCAGTGGGGAAATGGCCACATCATAATCCCTTGTCCTCTTGAGATTTGGGGCGTTGCGCCTGGTGTATTTTCCAAGCTGCTGGGTCCGGGACTCGAACCAGTCAGCCATGTGGGATTCAGCTGTCTTACTTTCCATGCCACCTGGCTGGTCCATTTTAGCAGGTGTTCTTAAAGCCTTTTTTTGTTTTTGTGGTAAAATATAAATAACATAGAACCATTTTAATTTTTTTTTTGAGAGGTTTTTGCTATAGGGCACGTGTGCTCGCCAGAAAGACAGAGAGAAAAAGAGAGACAGAAAGCGAGAAATCGCCCCCCAGAGGGAATGGCCACGCCACAATCCCTTCTCCTCCATTCTCCTTTCAGGATCTTGGGCATGCATGCACAAGCACCCGGTGTGAGTTTAAGCCACCAGGTCTGGGACTTGAACCACGGTTAACTACATGGGAGTCCAGCAACATAGTCAATACGCCAACTGCTAGTCCCCATTTTAACCATTTTCAAACATACATTGAGTTCAGTGGCATTAAGAATATTCACGATGTTGGGTGACCATCACCTCCATCTATCCCTGGAGTTTTCTCACCCTTCCAAAGTTCAGTACTGGTAGCCAATCCCGCCCTCCCTCACCACGCCTCTGACAACTTCCACTCTCCTGCCTGTGTCTATGGGTTTGCCTCCTGGGACCCTCACAGGAATAGAACGGCGCAGCATTTTCCTTCTCGTGACTGCAATTTCACTCAGCATAATGTCTTCCATGTCTCCACCCAAGCTATACCGTGTATCCTGATTTTGTTTCTTTTAATGGCTGAATAATAGCTCATCATATGTACTCAGCGTGTTTTGTTTATCTGTTCATGGATATTTGGATTGTGTCTATATTTTAGCTATTGTGATTTTTTTCTTTTTTCTTTTTGCCAGAGGGAATGCACCCTCTAGGAAATGGGGAGGGGAAGAGAGAAAAAGCACCCCTCGATGGGGGCATGGTCACACTGCAACCCCTTCTCCTCTCCACCCTGTCAGGATCTGGGGCACACAGGCACATATGCCTACTGTGTTTTTTCAGGCTGCCAGGGTCAGGACTTGAACCATGGTCGGTTTTGTGGGATGTGGCTCCCTTTAACAATGGGATGGCCCTTTTGTGAATAATGCCACAAACACAGACCTTGCTTTCACTGGGGCATATACTGTAATTAGTTCGGTAAGGACTCACAGTGGCGCTTCCCGCGGTGTCAGCCTCACTTTCTATTCCTGCCAGCAATGCACAAGGGTCCAATTTCTTCCTATCCTCTCCAACACTTATTTTCTGTTGTAATTGATACCCTAGAGGGTGTAAAGTGATATTTCATTTCGTTTTTCATTCTCATTTATTATCAGTTTTATTTCAATGGAAAGAAAAAGACTAGGAGGGTATAGTTGGCATGCAAAATCTGGCAGGTAGTATCAGCCCCATGTCAAGGCCACTATTAAAACTCATGTGGGGTAGCTGATGGCATGGTGGTGAGGTGGCTGGGTTCCACGTGGCCAATCATGCAGCTCAGATTTTAGACCCGGTGGCTTGAAAAACACACTGAACATGTATGCCCAAAACCCTGAGAGGAGAAAGGATAAGGGATTGTGGCATGGCCATCCCTCGCGATGTGTGCTTTCTTGCCTTTCCTCTCCCTTTCTCTGTTTGTGTCCAGTAAGTGCAAACAACCTATAGCAAAAATTACAAATGAAACAAAATAAAAATTCACTGCGGTTTGACATCAGTGTTTGTTAAAGCTCCCAGCACATGCCAACCCATGGCAAAGTTAAAGAGCAGTGTCTGGAACCCTGAGCCCAGGGAGGAGTTGTCTTTGCACGGCCCTGGTGGGGCTGGGTGGCCTTGTGGAGAATGCATCTCACTTCCTGTTCACAGACACTCTGGCCACTCCATGCTCCAGCTTTCTTTGATCAACAGTGTTTTGTCTCTAGGGCCAAGATGGTGACTGTCCCTGAGTCGTGGACCACCCCTCCAGAGGTAAAAGAGAAGATCCACCTGCTCTACCAGAAATCAGAGTTTTTGGAGAAGAGTATGAAGAACTTCTCAGGTAGGAAGGTGTGGGAAAGCTGGGCGGCACCTGCACACCCGCTCCAAGGCCCATGTGTCCCAGAGCCCCCGCACAGCCCTTCTCCGGCTCCCTCGGCCTTTCCTACCGTGCCATCAGCCTCAGCCAGGACCTAACTCTGACCTCTCTCTGCTTCCTTTTCCCTTAGAAACGCTGCGTTCGGAATTGGAAACGTTCAATGGTGAGTAGGGTGGTGGTCGGGTATACTGACAGGTTCTTGTGATGGCCCTTAGGCTGTTGATTCGCGGCCCTATTTGAGAGTGAACCCAACGCTGGGCAGGAGGAAGGGCACAGCAGACCCCGCAGCTGTGCCCAGTCCTCTGTGCCTGGCTGAGTTAACTCATTAGATCACAGTCTCCCCTGCAGGCCTGGATGCCTGGGAGGGCCTGGGCAGGGGCTCTTCGTCTCTCATTGTGGGAACAGCGTAACTCAGCCCTCCTAATGGGCTCACTCAGGACTTCTTTTCCCTGCAGTTCCGGAACTGATTGGCGCTCAGGCACATGCTGGTGAGTGTCCAGACCAAGATGACAGCCTTGGCCTGCTGAGTCCCTGTGCTGTCCCTCACATCCTAGGAGAGTGGCCCTGTCTCTGCCTCCAGCAGCAGGGAGACCCCTGTGGGAAGTTACCATGAGCCCCCAGCAAGGTATTCAAATTCCCTCTGCAGTTAATGTGACGCTGGATGCAGAAACCGCCCACCCCAACCTCATCTTCTCTGATGACCTGAAGAGCGTGAGACTTGGAAGCAAGTGGGACCGGCTGCCTGATCGCCCCGAGAGATTCAACAGCTGCATCATTGCCCTGGGCTCTCCAAGCTTCCTCTCCGGCCGCCATTACTGGGAGGTGGAGGTTGGAGACAAGACCGCGTGGGTCCTGGGAGTCTGCAGGGCACCCACAAGCAGGAAGGGGAGCATGACGCTGACACCAGAGAACGGCTACTGGGTGGTGATGATGACGAAGCGGAACGAGTACCAGGTGTCTACCTTTCCTCCAACCCGCCTGCGGATGAGGGAGCCCCCCAGGCGCGTGGGCATCTTCCTGGACTACATGGCTGGAGGCATTTCCTTCTACAATGTAACGGCTCGATCCCACATTTACACGTTCACTGGCTTCTCTTTCTCTGGGCCCCTCCAACCTATCTTCAGCCCCGGGACGCATGATGGAGGGAAGAACACGGGTTCCCTGAGCATCTGTACAGTGGGCAGCCACGGGTCTCACTGAATGCCCAGCACCGCGTCACTATGCCAGCCACTGGCCTGGTATCGTGCATTCACCCAGTCGACAGTCATTACGAGCACCTGCTGGTGCCAGCTGCCGTGCGGATATAGTGAGTAAGATTCCCTGTGCCCAAGGAGCTTGCCGAATGCTAGCAGAGGTGAGCTAGGCAGGCAAATACTGGGAAATCCAGGACGGCAACACGCACATACTCGTGACGCGGTGGGCCTCAGAGGAGCAAGGACACAGCCGCACAGTATGTGTCAGCATTTTCTGACGTGCCAAGGCAGATGCTGCCCTTGTCTCCCCTCAGAACCCATGCAGAGATGTGTCCCCTCATTCTGTCCACCCTGAGGACATGGGAAGTACAGAGAAAACACAAGCAGACTGGATTGTTATAGAAGTTTTTTTGTTTGAGAGACTTGTGCTATGGGGTGCATACACTTGCCAGAGAGACAGAAAGCAAGACATCACCCACCCCGGGGGGATGGCCATGCTGCAATCCCTTCTCCTCCATTTTTTAAAGAATTATTTTAACTTTAAAATTTTGATTTATTGGGAACCAGCAGTTAGCGTAATGGCTATGTCGCTGGACTCCCACGTAGTCGACCGCGGTTCGCATCCCCGACCCGGTGGCTTAAAACGCGCTGTGTGCGTGTGTGCCCAAGATCCCGAGAGGAGAATGGAGGAAAAGGGATTGTGGCATGACCATCCCCCCCTGGGGGGTGATTTCTCGCTTTCTGTCTCTATGTCTCTCTCTGTCTGGCGAGCGCTTGCTCCATATAGCGAAAACCTCTACAAAAAAAAATGATTTATTGACTAATTTTAATTTTACCAGAGAGGAACAGAGTGGGGCTGGGGAGTGAGAAAACAAGCCGCCAAGTCCAGGACTCAAACCACAGTCGGTCATGTGGGACTCCAGCACCCTTAACTACCACACCACTGGCTGGCCCCTCCTCCATTCCTCTCTCCGGA